GGATTTAAGTGATCCTCCTACCTCAATCTCTGAGTAATTGGAACTGTAGCACATTCCTCGTTGGTGAATCTTAAGTTTAAAAGACTAGGAATGCACTTTCAAATGCATTTGATGGATGACAATCACGATAGTGAAAAGTCTGAAAACAAGGCCCTCTTCTTATGTACACTCTTATGAAAATATTATCTTCATCTTCATTTCCATACAGTGGTGAATAGGGATATATATGATTGGCATTTTCAGATATATCTTGGGCTGTCAAGCAGATATATTCAGTATGTCTCCAGAAGACAGATCAGTATTGACTGAAATAAATTCTTGGTCCAAATGCAATGGCAGCTCCTAAGCTTATTAATTTCCTATTCAGTTCCAACAGACACTTACTGAGTTATTACTATATTTGGCAAAGAAAGTTGACTAAGATACAGACCTGTACTTCTTCCGCATAGAAATTAATTTCTGTGTAGAAGAGATCCTTGCTTGTGATCAAGGGTTGGACTAGTTGATTTCTTTCTTTTTTTTTTAATTTTTTTTTTTTGTAACTTTATTTATTTACTTTATGTGGTGCTGAGGATCAAACCTATTGCCACCCATGCTAGGCAAGCGCTCTACCATTGAGCTACAGCACCAGCCCTGGACCAGTTGATTTCCGAGGTAGTGATCCTGAAACCATGAGTCAGAATCACCTGGGAAACTGGTTGAACTCAGAAACCTGTCCCACAGACCTCCTGAAAAACAAAATACTAGCAGGCAGTTCTGAGACTAACTATTACACACTTCCAAGATGACTGTGATGCACATCTTTCAGGAGTCACTTCTCTGAGTCCTTGCTACTCAGGATGGTTCATGAACCAGCAACATCAGCATCACTTGGGAACTTATTAGAAATAAAAAATCAGAGGCCCCAGCTAAATCTAAATCTGCATTTTAACAAGATTCCCAGATGATTAGTGACCATCTTAACCTTTGAAAAGCACTACTCTAAGGAAGAGGATCTCAAACTTTAGACAGCATCAGAATCACTGGAAGGGCCTATCAAAATATGGATTTCTAGAGGCCACCCCCAAAATGTCTGACTCAGAATCTGTATTCTTAATAAGTTCCCACATGCTTCTGCTGCTTTGGTCTGAGGACTGCTGTTATGAGAACTTCTGTTATGAGGTTCATCAACTTTTAAAATCACCCAAAAAATGAGTTCTAGCTATTCCTGTGAGGTTGGTCTAGATTCAAAAAATAATTTCTACTCCAATGTTTAGATCTGAGTAAAAGAGGGTAGGAAAAAGCAGTTTTTGTTAGTATTTCTCTACCCCACTCCTTTCATTCACACGTGTTCTCTACTTTTGCATAGAGTTTGAAAGACATCAACAACATGATAAGGCAAGGCGACCAGAGAACCAAGAAGCGAGCAATAGCCATCAGTGGAGATGCAGAATCACCTGCCAAACGCCTCTGCCAAGAAAATGATGATGTTTTACTCAAACGACTGCAGGATGTTGTCAGTGAAAGAGCAAACCATTAGCAGTGTTCCTGTTACTGATGAAAGCACTTTTCAGGTTGTTTTGCAGGAAGTTGGGGCTTTCTGCCTTGTAAATGGTAAATATCACTGGGTTCCATGAAAAATTGCACCAAAATTAAGTGCTTTTTAAAGTTTTTTTTCCAGAACGTTGACAGGTATATTTTGAGTTGGATTGGAAAGGAATGTTTTAAGTGCCTTGTTACATATTAATAGTCATAGGATTTTTTAGGTGTTTGTTTCTCAAAGTTAGTTTTTAAGATGAAGTAAAGAGAAACCTCATCATTGTTTAGATTTCTTTAAAAAATTATCGAATGTTGCCAGGCATGGTAGTGCATGCCTGTAATTCCAGCAGCTTGGGAGGCCGAGGTAGAAGGATCTTGAGTTCAAAGCCAGCTTTAGCAACTCAGAGAGACCCTGTCTCCAAATAAAATATTTTAAGAAGGGCTGGGGATGTGGCTCAAATGGTAAAGTCCCCCTGGATTCAATCCCTGGTACTAAATAATAATAATGATAATAATAATCAAATGTTTCGAGGCAGAGTGGTACACACCAATTATCTTGACTCTGGAAGTTGAGGCAGGAGTTGGAGGCTAGCCTTAGCAACTAGACCTTATCTCAAAATAAAAAATAATAATAATTTTAAAAAGGACTGAGAATGTAGCTCAAAGGTAGAGCATCCCTAGTTTCCATCCCCAGTACCAGAAGAAAAAAAAAATTTATGTCTCCTCTGTGCTTTGTAATATGAGCATAAATAATCTATTTTTGGTAAGTATGATTTTAGATATTTGTATTTTCAATTTACTGTTGAAGGCAGGGATTGATTCCCATAGTACAAGGGCCAAGGCTGATGCAGCAGCAGCCTGTCTCTGGCCCTCTATGGTAACTGTGCATCCAGGTGCCACTGCCATTCTGAGTTGTCTGGGTGCCTTGTGTTGTTCTGTCCTTGAGCATAAGCAGCTTGGTACCTGAGCCCCTGCCCTGCCCCCAGTGCATGCTTTCCAGTCCTGACCCCTCTAAGCTCATTGTTACAACCCAGTGAAAGAGGCTCTTTCTCCTTTTCTAAACTAGTATCATTATTATTTTTATGACATTAACTTAATGATTGTGTTGTCATGTAATTCAAAATAGGAAACTGCTTCTCAAGCCAGTAGAATAAAATTCTAATTACTCTTTTTAGAAACTAAATTTCCTTAGTAAGATAGCATCTTGAGCTGGGTGCAGCGGTACATCCCTATGACCCCAGTGGCTTGGGAGCCTGAGGCAGGAGGATCCAGAATTCAAAGCCAGCCTCAGCAAAAGCTGGGCACTAAGCAACTCAGTGAGACCCTGTCTCTAAATAAAATACAAAAAAAGGGATGGGGATGTGGTTCTGTGGTTGAGTGCCCCTGAGTTCAGTGCCCAATATACCCCCACACCAAAAAAAGATAGCATCTTGATAATGTGTGATATACTATTTTCAAGGTTGTCATAAGATCAGTGGTTCTCTAAACTAATATTTGAAATCCTTTTCAAAACTCATTAAAATCATGTCATGCCTTATAATTCTAATGCAGATCAGTAAAACAGGTGCTTATTCTTTCTCCCTCTTTGTTCTGAGTATTATTGGTATATCATGAGTTTCTTCTTAGTGTTTGACCACCAGGTCCCCCTGATGATGTTTTCCAGTATTAGAGGTACATCTTTCCAAAGAATCAAGTTTTCAACATTTACTTTTCCTAGTGTGTTTCCAGAATCTGGAAGAAAATGAATAAGCCATTTTTAATTTTTAGAAGATGTATTTTTAAACTACAAACCTTAGTTTTTAAATGCCAGATGTTGGACTGGGCATGTAGCTCAATGATAGAGTGCTTGTCTAACATTCCTGAGGTTCTGGGTTCCATCCCGAGCATTGTGGGGAAAAAGCATAATGCTTCACCTCGCTAACCCTTGCTAATTTGAATTAGTCCAAGATTGGGCTGTCCATTAGGAATTTATTATCAGCAATTTTATTTTTAAATTCTAAGAAGAAAAGGGATTTTGGTCACATTTTCCTTTTCTGAAAATTATAATCTCATTTTTTTGTGTAGTATCTACACTTTTATAAGTCAGATAATAAAGTTTGTATCCTTGTACATATTTTTATGTAACTATAACTATTGTATCATTTTCACTTTCATTATTATGCAAAATATAAATGAGTATTTGTACATTAACTATGTAAGAAACTCTGGACATGTTTTTATCAGTTTCAAGACTTAGTATCAATGTACATAAAATGGTTAATAAAAACTGAAAATTTTGAGATTATTAAAAAAGAACTGTACTTCTGTTTTCTGTGTAACTAAAATATGTGTGTATACCTCTAAAATCTATGTCTTTAAAAATATCTACTGTGTATATTTTAAGTTAGTACAACCAGGCACATGCCTCTAATCCCAGCAATTCGATAGACCGAGGCAGGAAGACTGCAAATTTAAAACCAGCCCCAGCAATTTAGCCGGACCTTAGCAATTCAGGGTGAACCTGGGTCAAAATAAAAGAACTAGGGATGTAGCTCACTAGTAAAGTGCCCCTGGGCTCAGTTCCACTACCAAAAAAACCCAGTTACTTAGTACATCTTAAAAGTTAATGTTTCTAGTGGTTTCTGGGGTCCAGAGGGAGACGGTGGACTAAGTCCTTAATGGGTACAGGATTATCTTTGAGGTTAATGAGATTATTTCAGAACTTAATATTGTTGCATAATATTGTGAATTCATTCACTGCCACTGAATTATATACTTTAAAATGGTTAATTTTATGTTTTGTGTATGTCATCCTAGTTTTTTTAATATGAATAACATGATTATTTTAAGGCCTTGGAATGAATATGTTGGCCAAGTTATATTGAATTAAGGAAGAGGTTCATTTCTCTCTTAAGAATGCTTTCAGACATATTTATCCCCATGAGACCCACATCTTAAAAATTTTTTTCTGGGCTGGGGATGTGGCTCAGGCGGTAGCGCGCTCGCCTGGCATGCGTGTGGCCCGGGTTCGATCCTCCAGCACCACATACGAACAAAGATGTTGTGTCCGCCAATAACTAATAAATAAATAAATATTTAAAAAAAGAAATTTTTTCTGATTAAGATTTTTTAGGAATCATACACTTGGCAATCATCCTGCTCCAGTTTCCCAGATTGAAGGGATTACAGGCCTGTGCTAGTGCACCCGGATTTTAAATTTTTATTGCGCTTAGATTATACTGAATTTTAAAAGAAATTAAGATAACATTCAGCCAGGCTTGGTGGCACATTCCCGTAATCCCAGCAACTAGAGAGGCCAAGGCAAGAGGATAACAAGTTTGAGGCCAGCCTTAGGCAGCTTAATATGGCTCTGTCTCTATGTAGCTCTGTGTTAGAGCACTTTCCTAGCATGTGTGAGACCCTAGATCCATTCACGGCACCACACACAAAAAAAATAAGTACTAATTATTTTAATTTTGTTCCTTAGAGTGCTTTCACTAAATCCACAAGCATTTTTTCGCTGTCTACTGCTCTGACTGGCTCTCTAAGTAAAGATGAACCAGACATAGTTGCTGTCCTCAAGATTCCGTATTTGTAGCTCATTAGTTTAATGAGTTAGAATGGTAAAGCAGCTGAATGAAAAGAGCGGAAGTATTAGCATTTTGCTTGGGCAAGCGTGTCAGAGAAATCTGTAAAGAGATTATGTGGTAATTTACTTCTTATGGATGAGTAACTGCCTAAGCAGTAAATTTATTTAAGACAGAAAGCAAAACATAGAAAAGACCAGAGGCAGCCAGTCATAGTGGCATGGTGGCACACTCCTGTAATCCCAGCTACTTGGGAGGCTGAGGCAGGAGGATTACGAGTTCAAAGCCAGCCTTAACAATTTAGCCTGTTTTACATAGACTTTGATCAGTACTTTTGGTGCTGTTCTCAATGCCTGTTTGACAGAGATTTTGATCAATGCTCATCATATCCAATATCTATATAAATCCCTAAGCTAGCTCATTAAAATATATCCTGCCTTAGTTTCTCAGCAGGCCCCACCTCTGTAACAAAGTGACATCAGGATCAGTGTTACAGGCCTGTAATCTCAAGTGACTTGGGACGCTAAAGAAGGAAGATTGCAAGTTGAAGGGCAGCCTCAGCAATTTAGCGGTACTCTGCCTCAATATAAAAGATATAAAAACAACTAGGGATGTAGCTCAGTGGTAAAGTACCCCTCAGTTCAATCCCTGGTTTAAAAAAAAAAAAAATTTTTTTTTTTTTTTTTTGAAGAGAAACTGTTAGAAAGCTAGGGCCTTCTGAGAAACTGAGGCAGCCACAAGACCGGACCCCCTCTTCAAACTTCCAATTCTTGTGACTAAGAAAGATTTCAGACAGGTCACTCAAAGTAATAGGCTTGAGTTTATTAAAGGAAGAGGAAAGGGGAAAGGGGACACTCTTCAAGGGAGAGTGGGTCTTTTCAGAGAGTAAATGGACAATGTGCCTCTCCTGCACTTGTTTTCTTAGCGATCCCAGAGAAATTTCTCTGGAGTCCCGCCCAGGTCCACCTCCTGACTTGTGACTGCAGGATGAATAGACATTCAGGTCCCCACTGCCATGGCAACTCTAGGTTACCTTGGCCCATGCTGACCAATTCTAACTGGATTCTTAAACATACATTCTTACAGATTTTATGGTTAGGGGAACTATCCTAATAGAATCTGATTTGTAAAACAGGTCACAAAGTCTCTCCCTTCTAAGTAACTTTGAGTTCCTTCCTCTTATTAATCTTTTTTTCCTGCCTGCATTTTCTTGCAGATAACTGGTTATTTTGATACCAGTTACTCAAATAACACCAAGGCAGGGCTGGGGGTGTGGTTCAAGTGGTAACGCACTCGCCTGGCATGTGTGGGGCGCTGGGTTCGATCCTCAGCACCACATTAAAAAAAAAAAAAAAAAAGATGTTGTGTCCACCGAAAACTAAAAAAATAAATACTAAAAAATTCTCTCTCTCTCTCTCTCTCTCTCTCTCTCTCAAAAACAAAAGAAAGAAAAAAAGAAACACCGAGGCAAAACGCAAGCATAGAAATTGTTTAATTTAAGAAAGAGACAGAACAAAGTGAGCAGATTTCTCCACAGAGAAGTCAGGGCTCAGAACTGCTTGCCTGTGGGAGGGGGTGTGCCCCTTTTATAGATCTCAGATTTCCTTTCCCCTCCCCACATCCTTTTTATACCCCAAGGAGCAGCCCTAGCTGGTTGGGGGTAGGGTGGGGGTTGGAAGGGAGGGTGCTGGAGTACAAGGTGTTAGCAACCCATTTCCTTTTTCTTCAGCTACCTGTCCTTTGTCCCTGTCTCAGTGTGCTGAGGAATGTGACATATCCTGTCCACTTAGGCCTTGTAGGGCTACAGGCAAATTGTTTTTTGGCAAAGAAAACAGGTAGGGTCAGCACAGTGGGCCCATTTTAGAGAATTATTTTCTTAACTTCGTTTTTCCCATTATCCTCATCTATCTGTCCCCTAACAACCATGACCACAGAAGGTCACCCAATTCAGGGAACATATGGGGAAAAGCTTTGTAAGGCTTTCTAGAATCAGTAGTACTACTTTGCACATGGAGTAACCAATGCACATGTGCGGTTATTTGACAACAGTGGCAATCTCTTCACACATTAGAAGAGAAAATGCCCTTTAGGTTTCAGATCCTATATTTAGGCAGCACTCCCCTCAAATTTCCCTCTGGCGAGAGCTTATTAATTGTTATAGTTTCAATCTGAGGTCTGAGGCACCCTGTTAGCACAAAAGGACCTGGCCTGACCCAAAGTTCACGGATTAGCCCTTTATTCAGGAACAAAGTTTCATGCAGGAATGGTAAAAAATGAGCCACTGGACAAAGGAGGGGACTAGGCTTATATAGGTTACACTGAGAGGTGACTTAATTGATGAATGTGTTAGTTTGGGCACTCAGGAATTTAGGGCTTTTTTTTTTCTGGGCAAGATGAAGGGTCGGGGCTCAGCAGCCAGCATATGGAAAGAATATATTTGGGGAGAGATCAATGCTTAAGTCTTTTCCTAGAGACTCATTCTAGGTTTGACGGACACCTTCTCTCCAGGGCTTGTTTTTTCACTGGGAAAGAACGTTTTGGGAAAGGATCAATGCTATCCATGTATGGCTTTCTTTTTCACTCCGATTTTCCAGCCCACACTATTTGGGGGTTTGTCATTTTCCATATCTAATAAAGCCCCCAAAAGGTCCTGTGTTAATTCAGGAATGTTGAAGGTGAAATTATTGGATTGTAAGAAAGAGCTATAAACTAATCAATTCATGCTAGTTTGAATCAAGCAGTGGGCCCACTGTGCTGACCCTACATATTTTCTTTGCAATAAAGGGATTTTGCTGGAAGCTTTTGCCCAAGTTTACTCTGAGAATTGGGAGGAGGAAGCAGAGCTGAAGGATTTTTAAACATCACAGTTTGGGACCAGAAAAGTGCATGTAAAATTGGGGCCAAGGGGGCTGGGGATGTGGCTCAAGCGATAGCGCGCTCGCCTGGCATGCGTGTGGCCCGGGTTCGATCCTCAGCACCACATACCAACAAAGATGTTGTGTCCGCCGATTAGTAAAAAATAAATATTAAAAAAATTTAAAAAAAAAAAATTGGGGCCAAGGAAGGTGTAGTTAGATACCTTAGCACAACTGAAGAGAAGTTAGTAATTCACACAGTGACAAGGGGAAAGATGTCTTGAGGGCATCTCAGAAATTGGCTGGAGCACATTCATTGCAGTCTCAAGGGTGTGGAAGGGGAGACTGTTTGAGAAGAGGAGGCCCCCTGCTTGCAGGGGACCAAGGAAGGTGTTCCCCTGCTCAGGCCCTGGAGGCCTTCTCAGCCTGAGTCTGTTTGGTGGTAGCTAACAAAGAGCATGGAATGCACAGTAAGTGTCCTTTAAATTACTTCAGGGTCCTTCTTTAAACTATCTTGAGAAATCAAATGGTGGCAGTTCATCTGTAGAAAGCAAACAAAAGCAAGGGAGCTATTTGTAAAACATTCCAAGAGAAAAGCATTAATGGGACTAACCCTTGAAGGGTGGCCTGATGTGGATGGTGAAGTTAGGATTATGGCTGTAGGTGCCTCCGGTTGTCTGGGAAGGAAGAGT